TACGGTCATGGGTACGCCAAGGCAGAGAATGCCCCTCCCGGAAACAGGCACAATCGAACGGGGGTCAGCACATGAGCGCTTACCTCCCCTTCAGCCAATCCGCTCCTCATCCCATCATCTCACCCCCCCGCTCCTCTTTCGTACGGTCCCTGGTCGCCTAACCGCGCTCGGCCGCTATTACGGCCGGGTCGCCAAAAGAAGAGTCAAGTCCGTCGGATGAAGGTTGTAACCGGGTATGGCAGCCGTGGTGACACCGACGCTATGACGAGCGAAGGGTGACCTTTCCTTCACGAGCGGGAGGTCTGCATTGAACTCCCGCCTCGTCGCCCTCCCCACTACCTCCGCGCGCACTCAAGGAAAGACAGAGAAGAAGCGACTTCGGCTGATAGGACTGGTCAGGGTAGGGATGAATCTACAGCAAAAGCAAGTCTAGATACACCAACTCTTTACTAGTCCGTTCCTGAGCGCAACTTTCATTATTAGCAGCATAAAATCTACTCCCTTAGCCCTCAATCTGAGCTCACCATCGAATTCGCCATGGCAGAAAACCTTTGTCTTGCACCTTAGATCGTCGAAAACGGTCAAGAAGTGACCGATTTATCGCCATTTTGCTCCCCTCCTTTCCTCCTCCCACCATCATCCCGCGCAACTACTTCTCTACTAACCTCGTTTTCTACTAACCGATCATCCAAACTAAGTTTACCAATCGACCCGCCATGGCCCAAAATGTTGGGAGCGAACCTTTATTCGCCCGTTTCCGTCGAGAAACGGGCGCAGAGTTGCCTGCCCCTCGCCATAGCTCGCTACTTCCCCGCTGCTATGCTCCGCCCAACTGCGCATGCACCTTGCGCGACAAGCAGCCCAGGTTCATTCTCTTCTCCGCTGTCTCCCCCAGCGCCCGTCGCCCTGCCGCAGTGTCGTCCGCTATGCTAGCGCAGCGCCTGCTATCCCTGTAACCCGCTCCCTCTACCCGACGACCCCCAGTTACTCCTTGGCACCGTCGCCCGACCCCCTTCTCCGCCATCTCTAATCCCGAAAGCACTAGGCGCAGGGCCAGGTCCCGGTTTACTCACCCCATTCCTGCCGCGCCTGTAGTGCTCCGCTCCTCAACACTGTGCTGTCGTTGCCCACGCATGCATCTTGTACCGGATCCCGTTCGGATCCGCCCTTCTCTTTGCCTTTCTCGTACCAACCGTGCCTGGCTCCCCCATTCCCGTTGTCGTCACCCGGTTTCCCACACCGCGCGGCCGACAACATCTAACTTCCCAAAAACCTCTTGCTGTCGGACCCGCCCTCGACTTTATGCGTGCCCTTCGTGCCCAGCGGCCACGCCGATCTTCCCCGTACCGTTCTGATTTTTTTCGGGCGCCCCCAAGGACCCTCTTACCAGGGCAGTGCCCCGTGGCCTCTCGGTGCGCCGTCGCTACCACCGTCCCGTGCGCCACTCCTACCGCCGGTCGCGTGGGCCAACCAAGCAAACTTTTTTTTATCCCTTATCCAAATCCGAAATACGGCCCGGGTCGGTCGACTAGACCGACCGCCCACTCAACCAGAAAAATCACACGCGCGTTTTAAAACTGCGCGCCCACATACCTCCTAACTTACTCTAGTCGGGTCCCGGACACAGTCACGCCTCACACGGCCCATTTTGACGAAACCCATTACTCCTGTCATCTGCAAAAACCAGGGCGGATACCCTTGTAAGGGTATTCGCGCCGACAGCCTATCGGACTATATTAAGCGACGTGCCCGTCGCTACGCCAAATTAGAAAGTTATAAATTCATCCACGCTCCAAATGCTGACGAGAATGGAACCAATCCGATTAGCCGACAGACTCAGGGTTGAGGCCTCCAACAATCTACGCCGACATAACTATATGCCACCAGGGTTTCAACCTGGGTTTCCATTGTCCTGACACTAGGACGCCGATGTATTACGCATCAATACTACAGCATAAGTTCCAAAGACCACCTCAAACAGTTCTCTCCCCTTCGTCCTAGACAAACGCCGGCTTCTCGTTGAGTGCCCCTGTTAGACTCTTTCTCATAAGCAGAGTCATACCCAGGGGTGCGGGCCTTAAACGAGACCTCAGAAGGTACTATCGCCTTCCTCGCAAAAATCGTCACACTCAAACATATATGTATACGTATACTTAAATCTTCTCTCAGCCTTTTCTGCAGTGTAGTACATGAAGGCTAGGTCTTCGTCCTGGCCCACCATAGCCTGGTCGATCGAGCCAGGTCTACGGCCTATCGCATTGTTAGATTAGCGACAGTACCCTTCGTTGGTTACGCAACGATAGGTCCTCTCCTGATAAGCATTCAATCAGGACGACCAGACGACTCGACTCGTATACCCTGCCATTCCATCGGAGTAATTTCCCTGAGGTGTGCATAACCCCTTAAACTCTTACCCCGTTGGTAGGCATGGGCCCGCAGCCAGGTTGTGCTGGCTTGCCGTCATCCAATAGGGGTTGCGCCCTAGAGGTGCTAACCTTTACCGTTTAGCTTGGTATTCCCCAATATGCCTTTAGGATTAGCACAGGTGTCTAGACGGTGCATCGCAAAACAGACCACAGGCCCGCTGCAGGACTACGCAGGGGTCTGCCTCACTTTTAAGGGTATTTACCAGCCCCCTATGGGACAGCATAGAAGGCACGGCCCCTTCTCACAATCACAAACAAATTCACCGCTAGGCTCACACGAGGCCGTGGCCCGCTGACTTGATCAGAGACAGCAGACCACACATCCCATGACATCTTAATGCGCTGACTTACGACCTTCTCAGCTCCACCAATGATTCGAAGTGTAATTCTGGTTCCTCTCGTCAGACTTTATCACTCAAACATTGCTTACCATGTCATTAAATCTATTAACCGCCCCTCGCACGAAGGAGGTTTCTTCCAATAGGTCTCTCAGTCACCCCTCTCTTTTATAGGATGGGCTATCATGCAACCTGGTTTTTATAACCCTGCCCTCTTTGAGGATGGGTCTGTCAGTAAACAACTTTTTCACCTTCCATGATCTGAAGGGGTCTCAACCACAGAACAACTCAATTGAGAGGCCTACTTATGGGTCTCCTTCACAACTCGACCATAAACATTCGGCATGGTAAGCATTCGAGCCTTATAGGCTCACAAGACCCCCTTAGGGTCCTCACACATCTGTCACAAAACAACCGCACTGCCTCCTCTTATACTCGGCCATTTCACCTGCCCAAAGGCAGATCGCACGAGTATACCGAGGAGTAGACGGTATCACATTCACGCAGTACAAAATACATGAGATGTATCCCACACATCTCTCGCACAAAACCATCATACATTGGGATAAAACCACACGTGTGAGAGTGATCGTGATCGCCACAAGAGTAAATCTCACAGAGTCTCGGATCAAAATGTACTTGGGAGCAAAATATCTCCCTCAAGTCTCAATACAAGTACTCAACTCACGCCCTCAACACCCAACTCGCAGGATGAAGTTAGGAATAGAATGTCTGCCTCGGGAACAACCCAAATACTCAGTTCACTGTTTCACTCCACAGGGTAAACTCACGCCCCAAGTGTTATGGGCTCTCAGGACCCACTCAAAATATAAACAAGGTTTTTAAATCCCCAGAACTAATGTACAAGTTGCATAGTCACAGGTATCACACAACTAAATCTCACCTCCTAAATCGTATCACACACACCAAAAGGCTCAACCCGATCAAGCACTCCCACCTATGTATGCACAACTAGATAGGACTCTCTCGGTGGACTCAAGCATGCACACCTCTAGATCCTACTCGACTGACTCAAAGTATATACACCCCTAACCCGGCCTCTGCGTACATAGGAACCCTAGTCCTACTGTCATATAGGCGGGTCAGTCCCTACTCCCTCGTGACCTCCTGGTTCTGCCTATAAAGTTGTGCCTACCCCCATCTGGAGCTCGCTCCACCACTCGCCCCTGTCTATCATACATCCTTCCACCACTCTCCGTCACTTTCCCAGCTGCCTTGTTCTTAAGGAACTTTGGACACTCAAGGGCTCTTTGAACGCCACGCTTGCAGAAGAAGCACTGGTCATCCGACCTCTTTTGACACCTCCTCTGCTCGTGATCCGGCGAAACTCCACCTGCTCAAGTTCGCGGGTAGGAGGTAGCTCCACTACCTGAGCCGGCCCCGTGGCCTGAACTGGCTCCACCGTCTGGGCGGGTTCCAGTGACCCCTCTCGCTGCGCCAAGGCCTTCCGGCCTCCCCTAGTCGTAATAGTCCCTCTTGCCTCTGGATCCCGTGGCCTCTTACTCCTCTGACGCCTCTCCACCCTAGGCTCCGGCCTCTCCGGCTCTGGCCGTTGAAATGCCTGCCTCAGCTGAGCCTGACAGTCCTCCCAATCACGCGCCCTATCTTGAATCTGCCTTGCCAGTGGCCTCTCCGCCCTCCATGTCCAGAGGGGCAATGTCTGCATCCACTCCTCATGTCCAGTTCCCTGATCGCGCATATACTGCTCATAGGTCGGGATGAACTCCTCCGCATTGCCTTCCTCCAGTCGAATAGGCAACCCATCCCGTTCCAACGGCGAAGCCCTCAGCACCTACATCCTCGCCTCTACATCCTGCCAGGTCCAAACCTCCTCCCGGATATGTGCGATTGGCTCCTCAAAGCACCCAACGCCCCTTAGATGTCGTATCCTCTCCAAGGTGGACCATCCCTCTCGTGCCGCATGAGCCTGGTAGGCGTCTAGAAAGAGCTTTATGTTACCATCATCAAAGACAGGCGTGGATTCTCTCCCAGGCGATCTGCGCGAGTCATCCCCTCCTGATGCTCCAGGGGGCCTCTGTCGTGGCCGTGCGCCCCTCCCGCCCCTCTACATGGCTGTCTTCGAAAAGTCAGACCTGCACATCAGGCGAGAGAAGCAAGCAGGTACACAACAAGGTTAGCCATCATCCCATCAAGCTTTATGATAACACACATGCCCTTTCCTACTCCCCTACCTGACCTAACCATAGCATGCAATACCTCAAGGACTAGTTCATTATGAAGAATGTAGAGCTCCTTACCTATTCCCTGGCCACGAACTTCTTCAACCTGGTCCCTGACACCCAATCCTGCCATCCTGTCCCATCCAACTCCTTGATCTGATAGGCTCCAAACTCACCACACCTCAAGACTTTATAGGGCCCCATCCATCTCTTGTCGAGCTTCCTCGACCATTGCTTATCCAGGGAGGAGTCGTACAGTAATACGACATCCCCTACTGCCAATGGCTCCTTCCTTACTCGTGCCATCTGGTCCCATCTCATCTTGTCCTCCATGCGATTCCTCTCTACCTGACCAGCGGCCTCTCGCAGCCTTTCCTCGGCAGCCCCAACTTGCCGCGCTCGGATATCGAGTAGTTCTTCGAAGGATAGGTTCACTTCCAAGTCTTGGCGCCTCCACGTCTTCAAGAAACTCTCTATGAGAAATGTGGCATGTCTTCCGTACCATAGTGTGGCTGGTGCGTACTTGGTAGTCCTCTTCACCGTGATATTTTTTACGAAGAAAGCCGCTCGCAGGAACTTCGGCCACTGACCAGGCTTGCCCTCTGTCCATTTAGCCAAGAGGTTTGTGATGGTACTGTACCCCCTCTCCACCGGAGCGTTCGCTTGAGGATGCGCGGTCGTAGTATAGTTAGCCACTATGCCATACCCTGCGAGCAAGGTTCGCACCTCATTACAAGTGAACTCCGATCCTCGGTCCATCACGAACTCCTTGACAAAGGGATAGCGTAAGTAATACTCCTCAATGCAATTTGCCAAAACTGGGCCAGTCTTCGTCTGGATAGCACGACCGTCCACAAACCCAGTAAGGTTATCCCGTGCATCGAAGATGTAATTACACCCATTCTCCCCAGCTGGCATGAACAACAGGTCCAGGTGTACGACCGCACCCACTTCCCTCTACAACCTCGGGTGCAGGGGCTCTCTTGGCCTTTCCGGTGACCTCTCTTGGCAAGATACACAAGACTGACAATACTTGATGACCATAGTCAGCATCCCATCCCAATGGTAAAACTCGCTTATCTTCTCGCATGTGGCACCTATCCCTCTGTGTCCTCCTGCTATACCATCATGTAGGGTTGCTATAATATCGATCTGTCGGTTCCTCCCACACACAATCCTTTTGGGACTTCCGACCTGCCGCGTTATAAACAGATGGTCATCCCTTACTACGTAAAGGTGCCTCATCTTCTGCGCTTTGGCACTTGCGTCTTTATCCCTCATTTCGCAGGAAAGGAGTAGCCCCAACTCCAGATAGATCCCGTCGTACTCTTCTGCACAGAGGGCTTCCTTGATCTCTCCTTCTTCGAACTCATCATCCTGACTTTCTGGGACGAAGTCCCCACTTCCCATATGACCAAAGGAGCTCCTCTGGTCAAAGTCTCCCTGCAGAAGCGTATTAGTGAGCAGATACATCTCTCCCATTAGTTGTTCATGCTCCTCTACCTGAGTGGGGCCTTCCTCTATTGTCCTCACTTCCTCCACCAGACTGTGTGTACCTGCCAATGCCAACTTCATCATCCAACCGACATTCTTGCTTCCTAACGGATCCTCCTCCTAAAAGGGCTTGAGGATCAACCCCTCCCTTTGCTCGTACCCCTTTGGCGCTAGCCATATAGGGTGACTGACGCAACTAGGTACTCGCAGGGACCATTCATTTATATGAAGGCGGACGTCCTCCTCTTGGTCCAAGAACCCATCAACTGGTGGGGTATCCTCTATCCACTCCTGATCTGCTCCATCCCAGTTGATGCGGCTCAACCCGTCTGCCCTATTCTTGTCCCCCGGAATCCTTTCCAACTCGAAATTAAACATCCAAATATACGTCAACCATCTTGCGACGGTTGGGTCAGATGGAGTATAATTCTTCAGGGAGCTAGCAAGCGCAGTAGGGTCCACCCTTAATATGAACCTCCTGCCAAAGATGTAGTTCCGGAAGATCCTCAGACAATGGAGCACCGTCAGCGTCTCCTTTTTAAACTAAGAGTAGTTCCTCTCAGTCGTATTAAGAGTCCGACTCTGGAACCTCAACTGCCTCTCCTTTCCTTCGGCATCCGCCTGAACCAAGACTCCTCCCAAGGCAGTAGGTCCAGCATCCATTTCAATGATAAACGACTTCTCCTCATTGACGTCATAGTTCGGCGCCCCCAACACCAGACCTCCTTCTTTGAACTCTGTCTTCATTCGCCCCACAGCCTCTTCCTGGTCTTCACCCCAAACCCATTCCTGATCCTGGCGTACTAATTTCCTTAAGTGCTCCGTCTTGGCGGCAAAGCAAAGCTTCTCCAGAACCCGCACGTGCCAAGGAAGCTCCTTACGTCTGTTATCGAGCGAAAGGGTACCCGACCATTCCACGATTTTGTCTGTCTTCTTCACATCATGCCTTCGACCCCTCTCGTTACAGACAAAACCCAGGATGGTCGCCTCTCCGCTCGCCGTAAGGTTGTACTCTTCCAACAAGCTCAAGACCTGCTCGAGCTCTTGGACATGCCTCTAGACAAACCGCCTTACCCCTGACATCACTTCATCTTCCTCCCTCTCTTTCGGGCCTTTGACCGCCAAATCGTCAATATAGGGCTGGGTGATGTGTGGACTAACCGTCTGCATGGCGCTAATCATATGCCTTTGCACCATTGCCACTGCATTCGTCCAGCCTTGAGGGGCTACATTCATATCTGGGCGTATGCATCGCCGTCACAGGCCTGTCTGGCGGATACACAGGAAATTGGTCATACCCAGAGTAGAGGTCTATAAGCGAAATTACAGGCCTCCCCACGCACGACTCTGACAGTGCATCCGCGTTTGGCAACCCTCCTGCATCCCGCACTGTTACGGCATTCAGCCGCTGCAAATCCTGCACCCACCGCAACGTCCCATTCGGCTTGATAAAGCAAAACCAGGGCGAGGCGTACGGCCCGCTGGAGTAGTCGGCAACGTGCGTGCGCATCTTGCCGTCCAAGTAGTCCACCACCATCTTCTCCTCGTCCGGATTGGGGTACCGCGCGCCTCTTAGATTCCATGGTTCATGTGGGACCGTATGGATCCGGATCATTGGAATCTTGTCCACATCCAACCTCCCACGCTGGTCGTCATTGAAAGCATACGAGCGGTGTCTTTTCTTCATCAATCCCACCAAATAGGGCTCTCTCCTGGAGCGACAGAAAGTTGGGCTCCCCAATTATCAGCTTCTCCTTATTCCCATCGTTGTTGCGGCACGGACCATTGGCTGCTTGCTCCCGCATGCGCCGTATCAACCCTTGTTCCCGCTCGTAATAAGCTTCCTCGTCCTCAGTAACGAGCACGAGAACTGGGCGACACTTCTTATCTACTGTCTTGTACCGCCTTTGGGAGCCCTGCTTAAGCCGTCCCCTAAAAAAGGTCGGCTTGCCATTTGTGCCAGTGCCATTGCCGGACCTCCCCTGCCGCCTGAAAGCCGATTGACCAACTCCACTTCTCCCACCTGAGGGTTCTCCAGAACCTGCTCCCTCAGCGCCTTGATGGCCTCAGGATTCGTCATATCCTGTGTTGACACCACTTCCACAGCCTTATTCACATCTGTAAGGCTCAGTGGCAGCACCTCGGCCCTTTCCTCCTCCTCGGGCACTTCCCAAAGCGTCCTTCGCTCGTTCTCCAACTCCTCAAAGGTGAACGAGCCGAGATTAGGCCTATTCCTTCTGCTCCCCGGCCCCGTGTTTCGGCAAGTGATAACTTCATAGTTCCCGCACGCCGGGTCACATAGGAGCAGGATCATCGTCCCGTCGTGCTTATTGAAGATCAACATCTCAGTTCGGCACAGGAATGACCGCGCCAGAAGAATGGAATGATCGACATCGGGCATGACGAAGAAACAAGTCCTTGCCCTCACCTTCCCAATCTTTATGATCACGTTGGACGCCGTGCCGCAAAAAGCGGCCTTGCAGTTGGCGTCGTGCAGCATACCGTGATCCAAACGATCAATCTTCATTCCCAACATTAACGCTTCCTTCTCCCTGATGATGTTCATCTCCACGCCCGTGTCCACCATCCCGGTGCACTTCCGATTCTTTATCACCAGATCCACCTGCCCGCACACCATACACTTCCAATCCATCATTTTCCCTGCCTCAGTCCACTCCACCTCTCTAGGCAGGATCGTACTCAGATGGACATTAGGCACCAACCTTCGCGAGAGTCCTCCTTTTAGTTCACCACGAAGTCTTGGCGTTGATGCCAAGATGTCCTTCAAGTTCATCAGGTCATTATGGCCTTCCAAGAGCCTGTCCACCATTCGCTCCACGTCAAAGCCTTCTTCCATCCGAACTGCGTACTTCTTCCTCTTAGGTACGCTGTCAGGCAGGCTTGGCTCGGCCTCCTCTTGGGCTCCTCTCTTCCTGGCCCTCAGCTCCGTCCGCCGGTCCTCCTCTTGCCGGAGCCTCTCATCCTCTTCGTCGTCATCCTCTTCCTCTTCCTCCGGAACCTCCACCACCTCCTTCTGGCGTTCTGGGTCAGGCTCCTTTCGAGGGGGTGCCTGACTGGGCGCCTGGCTGGGCTGTAGGCTAGGTCTGGCCTTATTTTGGTTCTTGGTCCGTGCTGCTTGCGGCACTCTTCCATGCGACGTGAGGGGCCTGTAGGTCATACCCGACCTAGGGCCCGTCCCTACGGTCGCAACTCTAAGGCAACCCTGTTGCCCTGATGACGGTTCAAGCCCAGAGTCATAAAGGAAGACTTCAGGCAGGTTGGCCTTCCATTCTCGGGTTTCTTCACACAAGGCCTGCAACTTCCACTGGTACCTCCCCATCTTTTCCAGCAAATCCTCCATCTTCTCCAGAATGACTATAGCCGACTCTCTTTCACCTTCATGTCTCTCGTCATCTGAATCAACGACTATGGGCTCCTCCCTTATAGCCCCTGCCTTTAGTCGTTGAGTAACCTCCTCGCTATCCCCCACAATCTCCTCGACTCTTATGGCCGGATCTTCTCTCTCCTGCCACATCCTGAACATGGTCGGGGTCACTGGTGACCCTGCCGCCGCTCGCCTAAGGGCCTCTTGCCTGATCCCTCCCAGGATCTTGGGGTCAATATGCTTCCCCCACTTACCGTATATGTCCCCATTCATACAAGAGGAGATTAACCCTGCCAGCTCATCATCCCGCCGCTGTTGGCAGAATCGTATGGTGGGTCCTACGGCGCCACAATGCCAACAGGTGGCGCTCCGCCAATCAAAGCGGGGCCTCCCATATCCCTGGCCCCCCTCCTGGCCACCTTGGTTCTGGCCCCCTTGGCCATTCCAACCACCTCCGCGACCCCCACCATTTCTTCCTCGACCCCGGCCGCCGCCTCCTTGACCCCCTTGGCCTCGGCCTCCATTGCCTTGGCCACCTTGCCCTTGGTTTCCTCCCCCAGCCACACTAGCCTGCGAGGCTTGTTGGGAGGGCGGCAGTTGGGCCACAAACTGACCTTGAGTCGTGGGGTAGCTTGGGGGGGCCATACTTGCCGACGGGCCCGAATAGGGGACCATCTGTCCAGTGTGTGCTTGACTCCCTCCACACGAGGTACAGTGGCTACAACTGGGCCAGGGCGCGAACTGGCAATGTGGCATCCAGTGCCCACAAGCTGGCGGCGGCCCCATATGCAATGGCCCGGCTGGAGCTGGCGCCGTCGTGGCGGCAGGTGGTGGCGCGACAATTGCTTGTGGGGCTTGCCCCTTTCCTGATCCCTGACCCCCCATTAGCAAATTTCACTGCTTCCTCTGGGCTTTGGTCAGGATCTGGGAACCCGTCTCTTCTCCGCCATAGTCCTCACGCCCAACCTCCTCATCCATTGCCCCTGATGCCCGGCCTTGGGCCACGGTCACCCCTCTATTCTGCACTTCCGCCTCATTATCATACCCCAATGCCGCCAGCACGTCCGTGACGATCCTCTTTACCCCTGGGGTCCCAGATGCGGTGGCATCCCTTTCCTTTCTCTTGCGCCTCTGCAGCCGCATCTGGTGCTGCTCCACCTGGTCCAGACTCCCCTCTTCCACTCCTTTATCAATAGTGGCCCAGGTGAGCTTCTCACTTCCCCCTCCGTAGCTTGTCAATTCTGCGGCCTCCGTGCCAGTAAGCAAACCCAAAAATATGGCACACTGCGTCTCTTCAGAAATCTCGTGCACCTTCCTCGCCTTCTTCTTAAACTCGTGCACGAACGCCCGGATCGTGGAGAAGTCATCTTTGTTCATGGCTTCCAAGTCCGCCATGGTCAACAAGCCATCCCCCAGCCTGTACTTTCTTAGCATCAACTCCCTGAACCTTGCCCAGCTGCCATTTGCGGCGTCCACCACCCTACCCACCTCCTGATGGTGGCTATGAAAGACGTATCTCATAATCCGCTGAAATTTTACTTCATCCGCCAATCCTGCCAGTGGTTGCTCAACCAGGTCTAGCCAGTCGGACACCCGCTCCCCTTTGAAATTGAATGTATCAACCTTCGGGACATTGTTCGGCGCTCTCTCGCGCTTATCCAAGGCATCGATGAGGTCGTCGAGCGTTAGAAGCTTTCTCCCGCCGTCTGCCATCTCCTCTGGCATTCTAGTTAACTGTCTCCGGCTCCAGTCCCCCTGTTATAAGAAGCGATAGGACGAAGGGTCCACTCAGCAGTCCAATCCATCACGGCCCTATCTAGCCGACCACTTAAATACCCGACGCTCTAGACTTGGCAGACGTTTCTTGTCCTGTTTCCCTTAGGCTCACCTAGATAATGCCTATTCCCACCATAGAATTTCCCCGCACATCCGCCTCATCCTCACTATCGGCCAATCCGCCAATCAATCGACATTCACACACACAGCCATATAGACCACCATACAATCCATCTCATAGTCCTACCTTTACCTACTCATGTGCCTAGTTCTCCCTCATTCCCATACCCGGATGTCGTTCCACCAGAGACAACGGTAGGCTTCCATTATCCCTGGCAACGGTGCCACCAGTCGAGCGCATCGGTCCGGCACCGCAAGTGGCAGCGCGGGACCCTCTCGGCCGCGTCACGCAGGAGTTGGACCAACCTCGTTACGAACATACAAAGGAGCTTCTTTAGGTCGCTCCGACCGAGTGCGCCAGCCATACCTCTCGCGAGCCCCTACGACAGGATAGGGCTTGCGCGAGGCAGAACTTACCTCCACCTTACGGGAGTTGTCACCTCCTTTCGGTGGGCGTATCCCCGTCGAGCTAGCAGTCCACAATACGAAAGCTACTCGGTTGCAATCGCAGAGGTGGACCAGGCGAGGGCGTTTCTTGTTCGCTTTAGTATAAGGGGTACATGCGGTAATACGCCTATCGGACCCGCACGAGAACCGACATCTTGGGGGGCTGAAGTCCCAACCGCGGCTCGACGTCGGTCGACTAGGACGCGTCCCACACACCACGCACACACCACTCTACGAACATACAAAAAAAAAAAAAAAGGATAAAACGCACACGCGGCACACGTACGAAAACAGCGCAACACAACCAAACGCGACAACGCTCCTAGCCCCTCGGTAGCCATCCCATAACTTTTCCGATGCAGATACTGGACGGGCGTCGCGCGCGAGGCTTAGTATAAAACCGTGCAGACTCAAGGCTAACTCATATCGACTCGCAATGCAAGCAGTCGCAATGATGGCGTACTATGTAGTACCCATAGTCAAGCCGTCCCTCATGGATCCGAGTATCGCTTATGATACTCAAGTGTCAGACTCGAAGTGTCGTGAGGGTTTAATCCCTCATGATATTGCACGGCTGAAAGAATAGTCGTGCAGCCACCGCGAGACCTCTGGCCTTTGGTCTGAGAGTCTCGGTAGGCAAGGCAAATAGGCTCTGCACGGGGGCAGATTCCTTCCCTGTAGAGTCTAGGGCCTAGGATGTCCTAGACAAAGATCTCGAATCCTGGCCCAAGACCAACGTCTGACTACGAAAACCCCAAAAAGCAAACAATTAAACGAAAGGGTCTTTCTTATGCCACCCAGTCTTAACCTCTGAGTACGCCTTTAGCACGGGGCCCCTTAGGCCTCGCGAACGCCGACCATAAGTACACCCAAGCATACACACATAAGGGAGTTAGAGTTGCGACGATCACTTCTCACAGTCTCGGTGGGGTTCTCCACAACCATACGTATATATGTGATCGTAGGCAAGCAAAGTCCGAAATCTGAGCCACAAAACATACCTGCAATCACACCAAAGAACCAAACAACAGTCCACGCACTACACGAAGTCAACCCCAATCATTATCTACGCTCATACCCCGCGCTTTAGCCATGCAAGCCCCAATCTCTTATCCAACCAACCATAATTAAATACTCAGTACCTTTGTTAAATGGCCATTCAATAAAAGTCCGGGTGAAACCTTAATAAAACAATAAAATCACCAGGGCTAAAGCCTTTTAGGTTGAGTGTGGAAGGTGAGTTGGAATTGAGTCGTAGACCGACGAATCGGCAAACGATCTGTTATCAGTGATAACAGCAGATGATCCTTATAGGGTCGAGCCGAAACTAGTCCAAGTCATGAATCAAACGTCCGAGAAATGCCTGTACCATAAGACAGGTCAATGCCCAAGCTAAATTATCGGCACATGGGGGATGAACCTCTATATCACATCCTCACTCAAGATGTTTGCCAACTAATCCAAGCCTACCTCTAGCCAGTGTCCAAGCAAACATAGGCTAATGACATAATTTCCCCTATACAGGGTGGACTGCCAGAATCGCCACCTGTCATAATATAACCTATCTCCTTTAAACTGAAAAATTTCGGCAGTGCTTCTTGTAGGAAAAGTGTCTTTTCAGAATTTGTATCAGCCCTAATATGAAAACAGAAATAGCCGTTGACTTTTCAAGCCCAATTTTGTCTAACTCTTTGAATTAGCAAAAATTTGGACAGCGCTCATTTTAGAAAAGCAGACTTCCCAAATTTTTACTAAGCCATTTACGAATCTTAGACAAGTTGAACTTTAAGAAGTCATAATTTTTGCAAACTCCTTGGATTTGCAGAAATTTCGGCAGTGCTTCCCGTAGAGTAAGTAGCTTATCAAAATTTATACAAGCCCAAGTATAACAAACGATCTCAGAAAATGCGATAATTAATCTAAGTAAAATAAGGTCAACTCAGAAAATGCAAGAATCGACCTTACTCCTATCACTCTATGACGTGGTGAGCCTCTAAAGCAACTACCTATCAACCTGAAACTAGGACAAAGTAGTGATCTCATTCAGCCACATGCAATGCCAACCACAACGGTAAGTACTCTCACCAGCCCCAAGTCAACTTAGCAAACAAATAGTTCATCGTCTTTCACTGATTTAACCCTTTCTACCCAGCTTACATAGGGCATGAAGTCAGGTCATCCAATCTTATGGAACATACCTGACCCAGCCATTGAATATCCACGAACAGGTTGCACAACTACTTCTCTCTTCCTTTGGGCATATGACTAAGCCATTCATCTTAGAAACAAGCTTAGTCGCCCCGGACTGTTTAATATCTAAGTTATATGTACCTTTTTGAACTTAGTGTTCAAACGCTGGGCGTAGGACTGAGCCATTCATCTTAGAAACAAAGCTCAGCCTGCCCAAAGTTACTTCAGTTATATTCTTAGTTATACTCTCTTCAACTTAGGATAAGCTATAGCCAGGTCATCCAATCTTATGGAACCCGTGTCTGACTAGCCTGTTCATAGATAAAATAGTACAAAATATAGCCAAGTTATAACCTCTCAGGTTCCAGCATGTGCGAGGCATTGGGCCAGACTATCCAATCTTATGGAACATATCTAGTCGTTTGCCAGGTTCATTTTTCTCTTAACCATCTATGTGCGGCATGAGTCGAAAGCCATCCAATCTTATGGAACATGCTTTGTCCTCAGCAAGAATTACTCCCTCAGAATGAAACAGGAAGAGGTTGAGCCATCCAATCTTATGGAACTTGCTCAAACCTCATCGACCAGAAACTAATAAAACAGAGTAAACCCCAAGTAAACACGGCAGCCAAGCCGTTCAATCGTATGGAACAGGCTTGGCCTCTAGAAGTCAACCACAGTCAAGCCCTCATATGTCAGAGCGATCAGACCGTCCAATCTTATGGAACCTGTCTGACCCTCAATGTAATTCAAAAAGTAAAACACAACAGTCAGGCCATCCAATCTTATGGAACATGCCTGACTCCACAGGACCTTTTCAATCTCAAGCAAAACTGCCTTTTTCCCACCCTTCCCCCAAATGCAAACCCCCTTTTTCCTGAGCAAGTATGCTTTCAGATAATCAAAAGAAACTGAAACTGAAATTTTTCACGCATTTCTAAACTTAGCCTGAGTTGTATCCTGCCAGTCAAACTGAAGTCAACGTAGGGGTACATGCAGTATACTGAGTCAAACATAGCAAGATGTACAGATAAGGGTTATACCTGGGCATATAGAGGGGACGCAATGGTTACCTTCCAATTCCCTGCCTCCAGAACTCCTCCTGAGTCCCAGGAGAGCTCCCGCAATCGGCGGGGCGAACCTCCCACAGAGGCCTTGGCGCGGATTACGGGTTGCAATCCCGCATGCCGCCTTCCTCTCAGAACCAGTGGACTATACTCAGAGTAAGAATGGCAGAAGGAAATAGTTATGAGACTCTCAGATTCAAAGATGGTGCACTCAGACTCGCATGAAAGGGCCTTGATACCTTCCTACGCCTGAGGGTCCCACAATAGCGACCAACTTGCAACAACTTGGTCAAGCTCCCGACGTGAACTGCCAAGGTCACCCCTTTGCCGACCCCTTAGTTCATGGCGCTCACTTTCCTTCCCGACTCAGCCACTCCTCTAAGTCCAGACGCCGCTGCAAAGCAGACCGCAATAGTCATCAAACAACCGCGGCGGTATGCAGTACTATAAAGTAGCGTACGGTCACGGGCGTCAGTGTGCAACAGCTATCCACTGCACGCTCGCAGTATGCAGCAATACTGCAGTACCATGGAGTAATACGCAGTAGCCAGAAGGTAAGCGTTTGACTTGGATGTTGGTTTTTCATCTACCCCTTCGCAACTGTCTGATTAGCGCACCATATGACGAGTCCCACCAGACATCGCGGATGAATAGTACTCAGACTGTCATACGAGAAACCAAGCCCCCGGCAAGTGTGCATAGCCATGTGAGTGGTAGCTACATACCGCAACGTAGTCGCCGACAGAAGACGCAGCAACCTGCTGCGTGTACTACCTGCTATAGCGGAAAGTTTAGTAAGGACAATTTCTGCACCTCGCCACATGTGTCGCAACTATAGTAGTATCACCGCATAGCTACGCCTCTCGGAACTAGTAATACCAGTCCGACATCAGCAGCAGTCGCACTACAGACGACTAGTAACACGCATTTCTAGTCCTCGCTGCAAGTCCCGACCGGCCTTGCTACCATGCTCAGTCCAGGAATGACACAGATCCTGAACATGTAAACTGAACCCTTCCCTCCCCTTTTCACTCTGTCCACAAACGCCCCTGACCGCTCGACGGAGTCAGATTCATTCACCCTTAGGAAAACGTAACTACAGGGAGAAAGCCTATTATTACGGTCATGGGTACGCCGAGGCAGAGAATGCCAACCGAACGGGGGTTAGCACATGAGCGCTTACCTCCCCTTCAGCCAATCCGCTCCTCAACCCCCCTCTCCTCTTTCGTACGGTCCCTGGTCGCCTAACCGCGCTCGGCCGCTATTACGGCCGGGTCGCCAAAAGAAGAGTCAAGAACGTCGGATGAGGGTCTTAACCGCGTATGGCAGCCGTGGTGACACCGGCGCTATGAGGAGCGAAGGGTGATGTAGCATATCAGAAAGTGAAATGCACTAACAGCCTAGGATCTAGCAATGATGAAAGTGGCAACAACCA